GCCAGATGTCTCACTTCTGATGGTTTGTCTGTGTACTCATTCCCTACCATGTCACCTCTCTCAAGCCTCTAGCTGACAGATCTGCACCATAAGATAATCAGCGCTTCTTATCCACTCCCCAAAGCCTGAAGTGGTTTTTGTCGTTAGTATTGGTATTGATCTATTAAGGAGCAAACTTATTGGATAGATTTCTTAATTGTGGTAAAATATTTTGGCCATTTTCAGAGTTCAATTGAATCACGGCAAGTGCGTTCATTCGCATTGTTGTGTGGCCATCACCACCATCCATCTCCAGAACACTTTCATCTTTTTCTAATTGACACTCTGAAGCCACGGAACTATAATTCCCCATCGCCCACCCCTACTATCCCTGGAAATCATCATTCTCGTCCTTATGAATTTTACTGCCCTGGGGGCCTCATAAAACATTTGTCCTTTTGTGACTGGCCTGTTTCACTTGATATAATAGCATCAAAGTTCATCTCTGTTGTAGACCTTGTCCAAATCTCCTTCCCCTTTAAGGCTTGAGTGACTGTGGAGACTTTAAACTAAAGGTGTTGCAGGCTCAGTTGATGGTCTCATATATCAAGCCCTGCTATAAAACATCAGCTTAACGAGGCTTTAAAAACTGACTTATTTCATTAGCATATAATTAGTTGAGAGTGTTGCCAAGCATTTATTGTAGCTGGCATAAAACAATGAATGCATAGTTCTTTTTCATGAAACTTGTCTTCACACAATGGTATTTTAAGTGGGAAGCTGTGTATTGGCTTCCTTGCAAAGAGATAGTATATTTAATTAGCACTTGGGATTGTGGAATTATTCAATAAAGTCACGTGATTCCTAAGACCTTGGTGATAAGGCACTCAAGTGGGCCTTAGGTAGAAAGCTGCAGATAATCAATGGCCAGTCTGCTCAATGAAGCAACAGCAACACTGAACAGCTGCATTCCCTGTACCTATTCCTCTCCACTGACTAGCCACTTTGACAAGAAGTGTTTGAAACTCACTTCATAATCTATCACTCAAGTGTTAGACTTTGTTAGAACCAATAAAGACATAGTGTTTCTATAAAATAAAGGTCTTGAGATGGGCATAATGGCACATCGCTAAAATCCCAAATATAGGAAATGAAGTAAAGGAATACTTCAGGGTCACACTCTACTGCACAGTGAGTTTAAGGCCAGTCTGGACTATATGAGACTTTGCCCCCTCCCCAAAAGAGGGAAGGTGAAGTAAGGAAGGAAGGGACAAGAAGGAAAGAGAAAGAAAGGAAGGAAGGAAGGAAGGAAGGAAGGAAGGAAGGAAGGAAGGAAGGAAGAAAGAAAGGAAGGAAGGAAGAGACAGAAAGAGAAAATGCTAGCTCACCATCTGGCCATGTGTACCTAAAGTCTATTATTATATCTTGGATTGTGTTTTATAACTGGGGATGATATGATGTATATTCACCTTTTCTGGATGACCTCATATGAGTTTCTTTATAGTCCAAGTTTATTAATAGCATTTGACAATGTTGTCAAGGATGGAGTGAGTATAGCGAGTCACTTGCTTGTACACATCTAAATTTATAAGCATTCATTTTTAAGCTTCAAATTCCAAGGCATTATTCCTCTCCATGCGACCCCAGTTCCTCAGTGACCTTTAAACCCCCCATAAAACAGGATGAGAATGGAATAGGGAAACAGAAACTTTGCAGTCACAAGAGAAATATGGTCTGGACATAATACAAATAGATGAAGATGCCAGAAAGAGAGCTTGTAGGTTAGGTGAACAACATGCTGGCTCCTGACATCTGCTAAAAGTGACTTCTTCTAAGAATTTTGTGTATCATGCCTGTCATAAACATTCAACTTCATTGTGCAATGAAGACAGATGACGAGAATTTGCTGTTCCACCAAAGGAAAAACAAGAGTAACTTCCTTATGTCCTTGGAATCTGACTTTCTCAGTTCCAAATATGCAGAGAAAAACTTGTGCCTGTATGCAAGGACTGAGGGCAGTTGTTTTTGGGACTAACTGGACATCTACATAAATATGGAAATTGGGACAGGTTCCTCTATTGTCATCAGTTGTAAAGCCAGTGCTTATTCTAAAGTGAAGAGGAGAGCAGACTGGAGGGGGATGAACTATTTAGCTGTCCTTTGATGACTTTCTTACATAAACTTCAAGGTCACAAAATGTTCTCCATTTTGTTTCCAAGTAACAAGAGGAAAATAAACAGCCTTGAGGAGTCACTTATTAGGAGGGAAGGGGCTTGAGAAGGTTTTAGATTAGGGAAGAATCTGTGTGGATGTTGTAAGACAGAGGTCTAAAAAGGAGATTGTAAACAGAATAGCTAGAAATATTCCAGGAAAGGAGATGAAGAGCATTGAATGGAGAGTTGGCTATGGGCAGGAGGAAAGATACACCTCCCTCAAAGGCAGATGATAAGAGGACAGTCAAGGAGCTCACACATCATTTAGGCATTGAGAAAAAGGAAGCTGAGGGAACTCAGATATCTTATCATCAAGTCAGAAGATGTCTCCTTCTGAGCAAGTGTGAGCAGAGAAAGCTTGGCCCATCCCAAGGGAGTGAGATTGTGTAACAGCTTGTGCTTATCAGTAGTTCTCAACCTGTGGATCGAGATGCCTTTGAGTATCAAACTACCCTTTCATAGGGGTTGCCTAAGATCATCGGAAAACACAAATATTTATATATGATTCATAATAGCTATGAAGTGGCAACAAAAATAATTTTATGGCAACATGAGGGACTGCATTAAAGGGTCTCAGCATTAGGAAGGTTTAAAACAACGACCTTAGATCAGGTTTACAAAATTCTAGAACTAGGAAATGCTCAGTGGTCGTTAGATCTATGATGATTTTTTGTGAGCGCTGAATGGAGGCCATTAAAGTTCAGCAAATCAACACATAGCCAAGGTACTGATGAAAACAAGGGCAAATTTACCATTTCCCACATGGGCATGATGTTCATTCTTCTAACCCTGATACTCAGGAATTTTTGGCAAAAGGATCACAGGGCAGCTTGGCCTTGTTATATAGAACAAGATCGAGGATAGCCTGATATATGGTGAGACCTTGTCTATAAAAAAGCAGCAAAAATAACAAAGATTGCACAAAATAAGTGAATGAATGAATAAACATTTCAAAGGAACACCCTAATAACCCTTGCTTGATCTAGTGATGCATCACCTGTGGTTATGAAGACTTTGGGTGTGCAATTGGCACAACCCTCACAGCCACCAAGCAGCTTTTAACCCAACAGAGCGAGATGTTAGTAGGTAAAAATCTTACCCTATAATTGGATCTGCTTTCTTGAATGGCCAACGTGTAGCCTGAAGGCTGTGTGTGGCCCAGGATAGCTGTGAATTTCGCTCAGCATACCTTTAGATGGCAACATTATTTCATACTGACAAAAGGCAGGACACCTCTGCTGTGTCATGGAGGTTAAAGTGGATGAAGACGGAGAATCAGAAGAACCAACCACAATGTCAGTTTCTGTTAGGGAGCAGCATGGTAGCAAAGCAGCTGTATATGTCTAGGTCTGCAAAGGAGCAACAGAGTTCCCTGTGTGTCCTTCTCTTCTGACTTAGACTTAGGACAGTCTAAGGAAGTATACAGCCCCTGCATAGCATATTCCCTCAACATGACCCTTATTGGAGGATGACTCAGTCAGTAAAATGCTCGCTACACAAAGACTATACAAAATGCTATGTGAAGACGTGAGTTCAATTCCCAGCACCCACATAAAGATCCAGGTGTACCAAGCAACACATCTTTACATTGTTAAACAAATGCAGCACAAATGAATGTAATATGCCTTTATATAGTTAAAGTAATATTCCAAAACACACTTAACAGAAGGTTAGCTGCTCAGAGAAGTTTGCCTCACTCTGAACATACCCGTTTCCCCTTCCCTTAGCCAACGTAATAGACTTTATGTGAAAAACATCTTTACATGAAAGGCATTTTCTATTATGGAAGATCAAAATTTACCAAGCTCTTCATTTCTTTCAGTGCGGTTTAGTTCTAGCAGGTGAATGAGTTCTGTATGGAAGGCTTACCTTCCCCAACTGTAGTTCAGAAAAGCTGTGGGGAAGGCAATGGATGACCTGCCTCATCTTCATCCATCTATTTCTATCCTCATCCATCTATTTTCGTAGCTTTTCTGAATGCAACTACAGTAAAGCCAGCAGTAATCTCAGAGGATCAACGAGGTGGGTTGACTAAGCCATGAGTGTATCATCGTATCTCATCACTTGCAGTACTTAGCAAACTGACAAGCTACAGATGATTAAACAGCTGTCATATTTGGGAGTGGTCTGAGGTCAAGGGAAGGGGATGGATCTGCCAGAATCTGACAACATTTTATTCTGAGGATTATCTGTTCTCAAACAATAAAAACAAAATATGGTCTTTGTGATATGACTGAAGAAACTTCTCCTGTTGTGATTTTGTTGTTGTTGTTTGGTTTGCTCTTTTTTTTTTTTTACAATGACAAGGGAGAAAGAATGTGGTGTAGGAGGGGGGGTTGAATTCACTGAATGCCATCCTGTCTTTAATGCCTTTGGTGAGGTTGACCTTTCTCTACCCTTTTGCTGTGGTGGTGATTTCCTATGTGCAAGAGAAATTTGTGAAGCTACAGTGCGTTCTGTGGCAACATCAGATGTGTACTCCTATGGGAAAGATAAAGCTGCCAGCTGAAAGAAAACACCCTCTGTCTTTTCACTGGTAAACTTCCAGGATAAAATCTAGCTCACATCTGCCAAATTGCAGCCAAAACTCTACTCCCATTCTTGTCCCAAAACTACAATCCTTCCCCATATAGCATGGTTAGACAAGATGTGGGTGTGTCCGGGCCACTGCTTGACTTGAACTGCGACCATCCCTTGTGTTGTTTCCATTGCTCAAGTAGCCATCAAGACCTCTGGCTGCTCCCTGCCTGCCAGCCCAGGCAGGCTTGCCATGTGGGATACAGTAAGCAGCTAGATTTTGTTCCACAGGAGAATATATTGATGAGCAAGGCCACTGCCGTATCTGTGACGCCTCATGTGCCAATTGCTGGGGACCAACTCAAGAAGACTGTACCAGCTGCCCCAAAACAAGGTGAGTAACCTCTTAGTATTTCCTGGGAGAAGGGTGTAGAGGGGAAGTGTTAGCCACTTGAGTGGCACCTAAAGGGCCTACTGAACTCAAGGCCCAAACGCTTTCCCATGATACAGATATTCCCCGTGGTCTGGTCTCAACCCACTTCCATAGCATCCTCTCCCACAAGGTCCACACCCTTGGTAAAGACCAATTTCCTAAATGTTGGAAGAGCTATCTTGCTAATGAAAATGGTACCTCTGATGTCACTTTTGACCAGTGAAACCCCATATCCTAAACACTCATCTCTCAAACATCATTTCCATCTTCTGATTATATATAGGTTCTGCCCAGGATGAAATGACAGACTTTAGAGATCCCCCAAGGAGGGTCTCACCTTCCCTGGGGAATGATGTGGGGATTGGGTGGGGGACTAGGGGACTGGTGGAGGGACAAGGGAGGAGGGGTGGGAGAGGGAGCTGGGACTGACATGTGAAACATTCATGTTTCTAATTTAAATAAAAACATATATTGAAAAAAAGTATAAAAGGACCCGGTGTTGGTGGCACACGCCTTTAATCCCAGCACTCGGGAGGCAGAAGCAGGTGGATCTCTGTGAATTGGAGACCAGACTGGTCTACAGAGCAAGTTCCACGACAGCCTCCAAAAACAATACAGAGAAACCCTGTCTTGAAAAAAAAAGTATAATAGGATTTCTTAGTCATGTTATATTTTTACCATAATATAAATGTTATTTTCTCCATGTCCAAGTTGGCTTTCTATGTTTACTGTCAATCTGTCTATTTTCATCAAATTTCAATAATATTTTACTTCAAATTTTTTTAAAAATTACTATAATTCATTTATTATTTATTAATGTGTGCTTTATATCCACATGTAAATGGGTGTTATAGCACTTGTGTGAATGTCATAGAACATGTTATGGAATTCAGTTCTCTCCTTCTAACATGTGGGCCCCAGAGATCCACCCCAAGCCCTCATAGCCTAATCCTTTATGACCTTCTGCTCTATAGATACATCTATCAGAGCATGTGTAGCCTTTGAAGACATCTGTTTACAAAATGCATGTTTTCATTAGGCTGTGAGTTTCTTGGAATCTCACATTTGCATCTCCTTCCCTGGCACCATGCAAGAAAAACTGGAGGCATCTTTACACATCAAATGAAAATAGAAAGCAATGGAATGAGTAACACTGCTAATCTGATGGACATCTCCAGTAGAGAGAACTGATATATGTTTAATCAATGCTCCTCTGATTCTAGCACTTAATACATGGGAGCTTCTGTGCGCTTGGATGAATGGCCTCATTCCTGCTCAGTTAAATGCCTAAGAAGAAGCTGCCTCTCTCTAGACGAGTTGTTTGAGGATGCTGTCACAGCAGGGGTGCTTTGTAGCCGTACTCAGATGTTCCCTCTGCACAATGGTCATTCTATCCTGATTCTTCCTCAGGACTGTGCCATCCCAGTGAGCAGGAGCTGTGCTGTGTTTGTTTCTTTATTCTCCACAGTGATCAGTGTATAGTAACCATTCTATAGTCATTTGTTTTAGTTGTGTGCCATCAAAGCCATGGATTTGACTGTCAGAAGGGCTCTCCCAGAAGAAGGAAGCAAATGATAAAGGAGAAAGACCAGAAGGAATGGTTGAGGGAGACTAGGAAGGATGAGGGGAGGCAGAGAATGGGGAAAAAATAGAAACCTCAAGGATTCCCAATGCTAACCATGAAAATATTTTCTTGTTTTTCAAATTAAGAAAATATATTATGCTCCACTGATGTTTCATAATACATTGTCCAATATCAAGTCTCATTAATTATCCAAATATCGTTCACAAAATATTGTTCCAGAATCTAGTTCTCTTGTTTTATTTTTTTTTTTATTTTTAACATTTGCTTTGCCTCATTTGTTTGTTGTTTGGACTTTCCCAACTGCAATGGTTTTAAGGGTTGAATAGACCTGCTGTTTTCAAGTTTTAATACATTTTAAATTTCTCTTTTTAAAGTATGTTTTCTTTTTAAAAATAATTCTTGGAGAATTTCATACTATGTGGTTTAATTATATTGACTCGTCCACCAACTTCTCTCAGACCCACCCCTCAACTTTGTAGGAAAAAAATCTTTTGTTTTAACCAATCAAGTCCAATTTCTGCTACCCATATATATTGGATGTGTGACCTTCTGCTGGAGTGTGGCCAACTTACCAGGACCAACATTCTTAAAGACAACTTACTTCCTCTTCCAGCAGCTATCAGTTGTCAATAGCTCTTCAGCTAGAGATAGGACTTCATGTTGACCTCCATGATGAGATTTTTATCTTACTTGAGTGTGTACTGGGGCCTTTGTGCATGTCGCCAAAATCATTTTTAGTTTATATGTGCCCTGTATATGAAGGACACTGTTTCCTTGTGTTTGTTCACCACCTCTGGCTCTTTAGAGCCTTTATGTCCCTCTTCTGCAATGATCCCTTAATTGTAGGAGGGGGAGTTTGATATAGATGTCCCATATGGGGCTGAGCATTCTGCAGTCTCTTATTCTCTGTATTTTGGCTAGTTGTAGTTTTCTGTGTTATTCACCATCTACTGCATATAGACGCTTCTCTGATGAAAGTTAAGAGAGAATTAATCTATGGGTATATTGATAAGTTGTTAGGAATTGGCTTAATGCAATGTACTTTTAGCAGAATGATAGTGCTTTAATGCTTTGTTCTTTCCTAGTGCTTATGACCTGATAATAGTGCCAGGGGTAATAGTGCCGTGTTGTTGTGCTGGACCTAAATCCAGCACAAGTAAGTGGTTGGTTACTTTCAAGATATTCATACCACTATTACACCAGTTGGCATGTCTTGTCAGACCAGATGTTGCTGTAGCTTGAAAGATGACAACTGGGTAAAACTGAGAAAATTTTAAAAGGAGAAAATTACTTTTCTCCTTTGGTAATGTACATAGCACCTCCCAGCTAGCCATAAAGGTAAAGTATCCAACTGACTACAAACCAAACTTCTCCATGTTTTATATTTAAGAATGGTTTCTTCAGCAATAGGGTCTTAATACTGAGTTCCTCAGTGTAACCAATAACATTAATAATAGCCTGTACTGTTTAGGGGTCTATGAGAACTCACTGGTGTTAACCTATTCCTATCACTGGGTCTTCAATTTGTTATCCTATGGTGCCTAGTAAGAGTGTTGTAATCTGTTGTAGGGTAACTCCATTTTAACTACTTTCCTATATGTGTATAATATACTTACCTACACCTGTACTTATACCAGCCTATACTTAACACCTGTACCAATATAGTAGGAAGCTTCTACAACCACGAGTGGGTTTCCTTAAGAATTTTTCAAAGATCATTAGTGTTATTTATTGTCCTTCCCATATTCTTTCCTCTATCCTGTCCTCCCATTTCCCACTCAAATTTAATCCCCTATGTTCTATTAACCCTCTTTGAACCTAAATACCAATTATTTCTATCTTCCCTCCTTTGAGCCTCCCACCATGGCCCCTTACTAATTTCCAAACCTTAATGGATATTCCAAATGAAGTAAACATATCTGAAAAGCCAATATCTACAAATGAGAGAAAATACATGATGCTTGCCTTCTGAGTCTGGGTTACTTCCTTCAGAAGGATAATTTCCAGTTCCATCTACAGTACAATTTCATTTTGCCTCAGTCAGAATGGCTAAAAACAAAAGAATAAATGATGGCAAATGCTGGCAAGAATGTGAGGAAAGAATACTTTTTCACTGCTGGTGAGACTGGAGTAGTCAATGTGAAAGTCGGTGTGGATGGTCCTCAAAATGCTAGAACTAGGTCTATCACATGGTCAAGATATACCACTCTCGGACATAGCAAAACACTAACAGTAGGTTCCCCAAATGCACTATAACATCACTGACCTTTGGTTCTTGGCCAGGCTTACAGGACCAGGTATGAGTTCCTTTCTGTGAAGCAGGCTTCAATCCAATCAGAAAGCAGTTGATTACCCGTTTAACATTCATACCACTATTGTACCAACAGGCATACATTACCAGGTCAGTCGTTGTTATAGCTGGCAAGGTTCACAGTGGGTAAATATTGAATTTGCTTTAAAGAAACTTTGAAGCATACTTTAAGATAAAGACATTACCAAAACAAAGTCCTGTTTTTCCTTCTAACCCCTCTTGTATTACTATGAATAATTATATCGCCTTGCGTGTTTGAACATCTTTGAACACTTGTCTAATGAGGCAATTACAATCATTCAGTATACACTGGAGAAACCATGATTGTCCCTATCACAATAGAAGTGGAAAAGTAAGAGGAAAAATTCTACCACTGTAAATAACTACAAAAAAAATCTAGGTACAGGGCCAAGCTTGACAGTGAAGGCAAAGCAGAAGGATCTTGGGTTTGAAGTCCACCCTGGTACATAATGAGGCCCTGCCTCAGAAAAAAGGAACAAAAAGAAATCTAGGCCCATCAGTACAAAATGGTAGGCAACACTAGTGGGACATTTTGTTGGTTTTGTTTGTGAAGTATACTGAGTATTAGCTTTTGAATAAAGAAAAGCATACCCATGTATCTTGAACCAGGGTATCTTCCTAAGAAAATATTGTTCCCAGGAACAATTTTTTTCTCATCCCTCTGAGCATTAGCTCCTCTCCCAAATCTTTCTTCTTTGATGTTAGCTATACACACACATGTCCAAGAAAGGGTAATGTAGCATAGCAATGAACTGCTTGACTTCTTATTTTTCTGGTATTTTCCCCCGAAGGAAGCTGAAAGGATAAAAAGGAATAAATTATCTGGAAAGAAGGTGATGTCGACTTATTTGTTCTTGAGAAAATGGCAAAGTATTTTCCTTAAGTGTGTTCCAGAGCGTTGCCTGGGTCAGTGTCTTGGCTCATTTGGAGCGGCAATAACACAATACTTGAGACTGGATAAATTATAAACAGTGTAACTTTGGCTGAATGTTATTGGGGACTGGGAGCTCTACGTCCATGGCACTGGCCTCTGGTGAAGGCCTTGGTGCTGGGTCGCCCTATTGAAGAAGATGGAAGACAAGAGAGGGTGACAGTAAAAGAACAAAGGAAGGCAGACCTGCTTTTATAGCTAACCTATTCCATGATCACGTCATCAAGCCAGCTATTATATAAGATTCCTCACAGCCTAGTCCACTCACATTAAACCCTACTTCACAGCCTTGTTGCCTTGTGGTTCAAGTTTCCAACAGGTATATTTTGCCAAACACATCCAGGCCATAGTAAGTGAAGTCAGGTCCATTCAAAGCAGGCCAAAAGCACTTGCTTTATATTTCGTTATGAGACAGATACAGAGTCCAATAGCTCTGCAGGACACTGTCATGGAAGGAAGAAGTTGGCTTGGGTGGAAAAACCTAGTGTTCTTACCCCCAACCTTAGATTTCCTGATGATATTTCCTCTTGTTTAAAACTAACTGGAGGCCAGTGGGAATTCTACCTCACAGATGAGGATAATTAATGACCCTGAGATAGAATTTTTAGTGGGCTTGCTTCCAGAACAAAACAAGACAGAAAACAGTAAAGATGGATCTGGACTGAGGACAGGAGAGACAAATAACCTGGAGAGCTGGTCTCTGAGGTTTTTCCGGTTCTTAAGCTGTTGGATGCCTTTAGTTCCCGGAAAATAAAGTTGGTCTTCAAAAAACTTCCACCTGTGACAAGAGTGTTAACATTAACTTTGGGGTTTGATTTAAAGCCGAATGAGTAAATCAGTGAAAAGGTCATAAGATTAGCCAGATGTTAAAGACTGTTGAAGCTTAGTGGTACATACATTGGGTGGGGGACAATTATCAGTTACATATGAAATAAATATTTCTATGTCTGTTTAAATTTTTCTATAACTTTTAATTTAAAAATTTAACTCTGAAGTTGCTTTACTCAATACCAGCAAATAAATAAGTAAAATAGAGATAGAGTCCCACTCTTTAGATGCTAAGTGTATGTGCTGAAACACCACACCGTGCTTCATTAACATGGACAATCGCTGCATAACATGTTTAAGCAAAATTTTAACTAATGAGTAAATAATTTAAAGCTTTTTAAAATGTGTGCTCTCTGGATCAGCAAGGCTAGCACCACCAGCAGAACTGTCAGTAATGCAAATTTTCCATCCTTTCCCTGAGCTCGACTGGAATGGAAAGAACTGGAGGCGGAACCCTGGCTTACTTCATCTGTTCGCATTACCTATCTGATTCCTACATTTACTTTATCAACATTTTGTGTTTTCCCAAGCAGAATGCTTGGATTTGGTTGACTTAATCCCATCTGCTCATATGATTACTCTGCAAAGAAAGATGAAGCCCAAACACCAAAAAATATTAGCAGTGACATCATGATATATATTGTATATGTGTAAAAACAAAGCTTTTAGAAACTCATATTCTAACTTCTGTGCCAGGCCTTTGTGGGTGTTTGCAAGCATGATCAAGAAACAGAAGTTGTAGGACTCCATCTGTGAACAAATAAAATCTGAGTTCATTAATTACTTGTAATGTGCATAGGGCATCTAACCTTCAGAACCTTCGTTCTACTCTTCCAGGGCACTTAGACATGACACACTGCTTGCCAAACATGGGCATGCTGATAACTGAAGAAAGAAGGCTTTCTCCAAGACCTCTGGACTCAGAGGCCCCCATTCGGCATTATGAAAGTCAGAAACTGTGTCTTATATTGGCTGCTGTAGGATAGAGTCTCCAATATTCCCTTAATATGTGTGGGAACCAGTTAGCTTATTTGGAAGTCGATTCAGGGTCAGATCCCTCACCAGTTTCTGGTTTCCCTGCTATTGAATCCTTATCTTGGGCCAAGGATGAGTGTGTGACTAATAGCTCACATGCACTAGATGACCAGCCCCAGGCACCACTCTTTGGAGCAATGAGACCAAATCTGCCCAGTGAAGCATGCACACCACATGTTCTCATTCCTGGGTCCTTCTGAAAAGACACTCAGATGAATTCTAACTGCCTGCTTTTCCTCCAGGGTTTTTGATGATGGCCGGTGCATTTTGAACTGTCCCTCATGGAAGTTTGAACTTAAGAAGCAATGCCATCCATGCCACCATACTTGCCAAGAATGCCAAGGAAGCGGTCCTTCTAACTGCACCTCCTGCAGGGCAGGTGAGGGCAATTGCTGCTGGCTCCTGTCTCACATTGGTCTGTTCTCTTGCAAGCCAGAATTTTGTTTAGCTCAGAAGCCTTGGGACAGAGCTGAGGTTCAGAGCAGACAGCTGTTCATTACAGCACCAGTACAACCTGAACGTTCTGTTGCTACCAGGACACACAAACCTTGTTCACATAATCACACATGTTGACTTACTGCCCTGAAGGAGATGAAAGAGGCAAAAAGAGGCCTTCCCTGGGAAGCAAGAGGAAAGACTATTAAGTGTGTTGTCAACCATGCCAAGTGCAGTAAAGTAGAGCTTTGTTGTAGTAGATCTGAAAAGTCAGGGAATTAGCAAGACACATATGGTCCCTAAAATGAAGACTGCATTAAAGGTTATGTCTAGTCTCAGAGCTGAGCTATGCCATTTAGATGGCACGGTAATCAATCTACTCATGGCAGATGTGACCCTTTGGGTCCAGTCTGAGTTACTCTCAGAGTATCTGCCATCACTGGCATGGAGGCCATGCCCTCTGCATGTTCCTTTGCAGTTTAGCCTTGACAACACTCCAGCCTTGTTTCATATGCCTGTTCTCTATTTTGACTTCATGAGACCTAGAATGACATTATTTTTCCTATACGGTAAATAGAGTTTAAATTTGAGTCAAATTTAAATTTTGTGCAATTTTAAAGAAAAAAAGTAGACTACTGGTCACTGTTGAAAAGTTGGATGGTGTGGTTGCACTAGACCCATCTTTCCCAAAGATTTTTCAGGGTTAACCCTTAAAGAGGCTACTCTGCATTTCTCCACAGTCCTCCCTGCGTACGGTTGTCTAGCTGATCCTGAGATGATTATTAGCATCTTACCCGTTATATTTATGTCATTTGTCTAGTGAAAGAGACTTATTTATTTTCATTCTTGCTTACAGCAAAACCAAGACAAATTGAAAAAAATGACAACATCTTAGACTGGCATAAATACAGAAAGTTGGAGCCATGCACCTCCCTTTCACACATCGTATCACTCTTAATATCTATCTCGTCCATAAAGACTTATGTCCCAGATGAGCACTGAATGTTTTCTACACTGGCCTGAACATGAGGCAGTATCTGGCATGTAGACTGTGCACACACAGAAGATAAGCAAAGAATCCATGGTTTGGGAGTCAGGCCCTCCAGACTAGCAGCCAGGAAATGTACAACTGACCCAACATCCTAGATTGTTTGATCTCTAACAATATCTCATGTATCCCAGGCTGCCCCAAACTTACTATGTAGCTGAGGATAACCTTGAACTTTTGATCCTCCTACCTCCACCTCCTGGATGCCAGGATTATAAGCATGCCCCCACAACACCTTGTTTTATGTAATACTGAGATTACATGTGCTAAGCAAGTACCCTACAGTTTAGCCACATCCCCAGCTCCCAGCTCTCTTACTAACTAGAAGACACTAAAGTAGTCACTTCTTTAAGCCTCTTCTTGTTGGTTTAAAAAATAGAAAAGACTTTAAAATCCCTTTCCCATCCAGCACTCTACATCACAGCATAGCACACAATCAGAGCAAGCTTGAGAGTCTAAGCAAATGTCAAACAGTCTGTCGTCTTACTGCTGCTTGCAGCAAACCACGTGAAAAGGACTTTGACATTTTTTCATATTTTATACTTGAAGGGCTGCATCTAATCTATCATCTTACATATTAAGTGCCTTCCCCCTTTGCATGAGTTACAAGTAGAAGCAATGGAGAATACAATACATGGGAGCATAATGCCTGTGATGGTTATGTGTTTGTTATTTGACCTGGTTGAGAAATGCTTCATAGATTTGTAAGGAGATCGCTCAACGTTTTTGTGCAAGCATTTCCAGGGAGGATTGACTAAGAGGGAAATTCCACCCTTAATGGAGGCTATCCTATCCCGTAAGCCAGGGTCCAGATGAAGGGGTCAGGTGGGAGGGGGGGGTGAGAAAGCCACTTAGTTTGGGAGTTCTTCTCTGCTGTGTGGCTACCAGGAAGTGAGCATCTCTGTTCCACCATGCCCTCACTGTCATGATGTACTAACACTCTTGAAACTGCGAGACAGGATAAATCTTCTATGCCCTTAAGCATTTATGGTGGGTATTTCTGTTACTGCAATGAAAAAACTGACTCACTGTCAAGGAGTTTAAAGACTAATAGGGAGGTTTGTCTTCATGTACTGAAAAATGAGAAACTATCAGATAAAGACCAAATGAACAGTCAGAATGCTGCCACAGGTCATTTCCATATGTGATGCGCAGAGGTTTCCTGGACAGGGTATTTGCTTACCCAACCCTTATTTAACATGCTCTCTGCACAGCAAAAGCTCATGCTAACACAGCAAGGATAGTCTATGCCTTGAGATCACCACACTGAAGACAAATGTTTCACCTCAAAAAAGCTCCAAAAGAGAAGTTTAAGGCTGAAATGTCAGCAAGGTCACATGGGTCAATCCAACATTATACTGACTTTCTGCTTCTGTCCTTGCAACAAGGGTATACTGTTAACTTCATACACATACTCAGTGTCCCTTCAGCCTGAAGGTCAGTGGTTTGGATCTCTGTGTGGTGGCTCACATACTGAGTGAATGGTAGACCAGGTTGTTCTAGGCAACACAGATCAACTGTTCTTCAGATGTGGGGCCACGTGGGAAATCGGGTTCTCAGCAGAATGAGTAGATGGATCCCCAGAGCACACTGAGCACTGCATCTCCCCAAAGCAGGAAGAAAGGGGCTCCTAGATAGACTGGTAGCCACAATCTCAGTGTTGTTTTTAAAATACTTGTGGCTGTTTATAATCCTCTGTGACTGATCCTGATATTTTTCTAACTGATTAAATGTTTCTGTTCTCTCCCAGAACAAATTCCCATGTTCTGTCATGCTAGGAAATTGCTGATTCTCTCCTTATAGAGCCCAGTGTTGACAGAAATAAAACCCTTAGGGATGACGAGAAGGAAGTGTGGAGGTTTACATGATTTAGGGTGTCAATAGATCTGTCCTTAGAACAATTAGTAGCTTTGCAAAAACCCAGACGTTAGTCAGTACAAGCATGTGATTTTAATAGCAATTAGAAATCATTGTGAGATTACACTTTTATCAAGTGTGACTGTCATGACGTACATGTTTATTTTTATGGCATCTCAATAACCCCCAAGTCTGAATGGGTCTACCTTTACCCAAAGGAGCCCTTGAGAAAGTTAAACACATTTTGAATTGTAGCTATCCACAAAATATGGTTTGTGGTTTTGCAATGACATCCCAAATAGAAGTTGTTCACTCAAATCTATAAAATAGTGTAAAATGATTCCCTGCAAGGAAAACTTTTCAATGGTGAGGATTTAGATATTGTACTTTTTATTAAATCCATTCTGATGTTCTTGGTCCCCTAGAAACAAAAGCATTCAGTTGTATCTCTTTTTAATAAAACATCTTACATTATATGAGTTCCATGGCTGGTTTCTGCATTTTCTCTTTCCCATGCCCCTCTAACTGGACAGACAAGCACGGTCAGAAACGCTTCCTATACCAAGGAGAATGTCGGGAGAGCTGCCCTGTGGGCCACTATCCCACCAAGGGACATGCCTGCCTGCCCTGCCCAGACAACTGTGAGCTTTGCTACAACCCACATGTCTGCAGTAGATGCATGAGTGGCTACTTCCTCGTGCCTGCCAACCACACCTGTCAGAAGCTGGAGTGCGGACAAGGTGAGGCCTCTACGGGATCCTACTCAGCACCAGGAGGTAGGATGAGAGATTATACCTCCCGGAACCAGGGAAGCTTTGACTACCTTACTTTCAATCGTCATGGTGTTATTGTGAACACTTAGAATTACTCTCAATAGCTCAATATGCAAGTGAAGGTAACTTCCCTTATATTTCCCCAGCCCCACAATGCCTAGACAAGAGAGATAAACTGAGATCAGAATCTAAGTCTTGGCCAACAGTTTTCTTCCTCTCAATTACTAGGTATGAGACCTTGGGCAAAACTAATCTAATTTCTCCATGCCTTGGGGCTTTATGTCAAACCAAGTAAGACTGACATGAGAAGCAAGAAAAATCAGTGTACCCAAACCTACCTGAAATTGTTGAGGGCTCTGTGAATTGTATATTGTTACTGTTCAATTACTTTGTTATACTGGAAGATGATAAGTTTAGCAGCATTGATTATATTTGCTCCTTTATATTTAACTCTGCTACGTAAGAACTACGGTTGGCCCATGTCTGTTCAGTTTCAAGATACTTTAAATTAAGCACCCCTTCTATTTATCCTTCCTGTTTACAGAGACAATGAAATATTTTTTAATTTTAAATATGTTTAGTAGGTCAGATATAGAGTCTGATCTTTATATATCGAATTCCATTTTCCTAGACACAGAACTGATTTACTGAATAAATCCAATCTACTAACTTGACTTTAAAATTAGTTATATGACCAACTGTGGGGGTTCATGGCTATAATCTCAGTACCCAGGAAATGAAAGCAATGAGTTTAAGGCCAGCTTAACCTACATAGTAAGCTCCAGGTCAGCCAGAGCTACATAGCTAGACCCTGTCTCAAAAATGAAAGTGAAGTAACCAAACAAATAAACAAATAGACTAGTTATATGGAATATAGTCTAAGCCTCTTCTATTTGTACCATTTGTAACATGTTAAGTTAATACAAGATTTTAAAGTCATGACATCCTTCTTCAAGAGATTTTGGGCTTCATATCCTCTGTGATTCACACATAAATAAACCACACACCAAACACCATGTTTTCCTAGCAGTGACTATGCCTCTAGACAGTGGGCTTGAGTTGTCTTTTCCATTCCTTTCACTGTACAGGTGAATTCCAGGATTCTGAGTATGAAGAATGCATGCCTTGTGAGGAAGGATGCCTGGGGTGCACTGTGGGTATGTCATGTTCCTTTGTTACTTAAAACATTTAAATAGCCATGTCCCTTATCCCACATACTGATGCTGCCATTGCTTCAGCAAGGAGTCTTGCCATTGAGGAAATTATCAGTGTCCCCATCACTCTCCCTAGTACAGATGGTGTCACAGTGAAGAGATGCTTGTGAGGCAATAGTGTCAAACTTAAGAAAGCATAGCAGTGTCTTCCCCGACACTCTAACTCTTCTTTATTGAGCTGAAAAATACAATCAAACAAAGAAATGCTTGTTGGCTCTAACTCACTTGGTTTGTGGAACCCAAAAGCTAGAGGGTAGAGAGATAAGGAGGTCTCCTTTTGTGAAAGCGACTCCACTGTTTGGGGCCTAAGGCAGTATTGTGTACTGTGGTGAAGCCAAGATTCCTGTTGCACAAAGAAAAGCATGCATACTCTAGTTCAAGCTTTTAGCTCTCCCATCTCTTCATCTCACACTGCTGCTCCTCTGGTGAAGGAGAAGATGGGGATGGTTTATAGCACATAACATCAGTGAATTTGATAAAAAATGTATAATAGGGAGACTGTGATTTCAAGACCGTACTTTTATGTAAGTCTAGGCAACATATAGGAAACAGCATATAGGATCTGTGAAGGAAAATTCCAGCAGGAACAAAGTAATTTCTCTTTGTGGAGGCTTCTGTGGACCCCTGTGGTACCTCTAAAATGTTACTATGTGCATATCACATGGGAAGTTTGTTAGGATGCAGACAAGCTGTCAGTGGGGTCACTGCAGTTGCTCCATTGACCACTTGCGAAGTGTCAGATTGCACTGCAGCTATGTAGATATTATTGGCCTTACCTACATTATTTGTTTGCTTGTTTATTCTTCTCTCATACAATGCATCACATCCACAGTTCCCCTCCCTCCACTCCTCCCTACTTCCCCTGCACCTCCCCTCTCCCCCAGATCCACTCTACCTGTTTCCCTTCAAACATGAGCAGGCCATAACAAGATACAATAAGACTAGTCACAAGCCCTCATATCAAGACTGCATGAGACAACCTAGTAGAAGGAAAAGGGTCCCAAGAGCAGGTGAAAGAGTCAGAGGCATCCCCACTCCCACTGTTAGGAGTCCCACAAGAGCACTAAGTTAACAGGCATGACATATATGTGGAGGACTTAACACAGACCCATGTAGGCTCTGTGATTTCTGCTTCAGTCTCTGTGAGCCCCTATGAGCCCTGCCTTGTTGATTCTGTGGACCATGTTTTCCTTGACCCCTTTGACTCCTACAATTCTTTCTCCCCCTCTTCTGTGACTTCCTTAATTCTTAATTAATATGCATGAACTATAGTTTACCTTTAGAAACGTGAGGAGAGGAAATACCGTAACAGTAAAACTTCAGAGGCAGTCAGAGATTTAAGAGTAAAATTCTAAATATCTGGGAAGCCAAAGTAAATTTAAACACAAATAATAAAAGACTACAATTAAAACAATGGCAACGGATATTTACACTTTACCTATGACTATTTTAATTGTGTGTTTTGTTGTATTTTGTTTTTACAACATACCCAAATTACAGTCTTTCTTAATAAGTAATAGGAGATCTTCCTGGCGGCAATGACAGATGTTCTGATGGTCTTGATTTTACTTTTGTCCATTTCAAACCTGTTTTCCACTTAGGCACCCTACCCCAAATGCATTTCTTCTGCACCTTCACCATTGCATGATGAACACCCCTGCCTGCATCTTTGTGTATCACAGTGGGTGGAGAGGGAGTATTTGTGTGTGCTGTGGGGACAGATCATAAACATTTTGGCTCTCTTGACTTTGTTCAGTGATTATAATAGAACAAATCCACTAAGTTAAACATAGAAGAGGGAGTTTTCCTTCCACATGTTTAAAACACTCCCAAAAGAATGTACCTTTGAGGACTCCCTCAGATTCAGATATCATCCATAAAGAGATATGATGTTATATGACATTATTCTTTGGGAGAGGGAATAAGCATCTACTCATACCAAATGAAGAACTGATGGCAGACCAAAGTACTGATACCAGAAGCTTGGTGAACCAATGAGTTTATGGGGGTTACTTGCAAGAATATAGGTGAGGGGTTACTTACAAAGGCACAAATGACTCAAAGACAGCTGCATCATCAAAGCTCACCCCAGCATGGGTGACAGCTCATAAAAGCTGGGAAGCCTGGAACATACTGAACAATCTTTAGAAAGCTCAACAGACTGGAGTGTGTCCTTTCCAAGCTTCTCGGCTGTTCTAAGTCTCTTCTGAGAATAAGTCCCATTAGTCCTTAATGCATACGTATGTATGTATGTATGTATGTATGTATGTATGTATACATGCATGTATGTGTGTATGTGTGCTTGAGAAGAGAGGGGCCTAATGAATCTGGTTAGTTTCAAGGACTTCCTGAAGCTGTTTTAAGATGTTTATTTTCTGAGGTTAATGAGCTCTGCAGGATGGGACATTTTACCTCCCTATGTAGACATCCTGTATCTTAGTGATCTTCCTTCCAAGGTACTACACAACAGATGTGAACAATAACAAGGCAACCATGATCACTGGGAGATTCAGAGACATGGCTAAAGATGAGGCCAAATTATAGTAATTGGGAAATGATACTGGTCAACCAGGGCCTGAAAATCCAGTCTCCTTAACCAACAAGTTAGTCTGATTCACTTCACAAAGTACTATTGAAGTGTCTTACTCACTCCTTCATTTAGCAGACTTTAGCAGTCTTCTCTGTGTCTGTGTGCCCAGTGCTTACCTTGGCACTGGGAATTCAAATGTGACATGGCAGGCACCCTCTAATAAGACATTGCCACTAGAAATATGCCTGGGATGGGGTCCTTTACAAGGCTGGCCCAGTGTAGAGGGAGGTTTAAGCACAGCAGGGTCACTAGGGAAGGCAACAAGAACATTCAAAATGCTAAGTTTAACATCCTAAATTCTAATATTTCTCTTCATTTCCAAAATTTCTGTGTTGGATCTTGTGTGTTTTTGAGCTGACTTGCCTGACCTCAACCATGACCTCATTTCTGAGACCTGGTGATCTCTCCAGTGGAGTTAACCCTCCCTATCTCCCTTTCATGTGTGGTAGCTATGACATTGGTCTAACATTTACTGTGTGCATATCTTTCTGCCTGACACTGCAGGGCTTGCTTGACTCTGACTTACTTTGTCTGCTTCCACAAACAAAGCAGCAGTCTGGGATCATAAAGCACACACAGTTGATAAGCAAATGTTGCTCACTTGTGAAGGTGTGGCTTACAGTGTTCTGACTCTACCATGGGGGTATGACAATGATCTTAGCATATTAAATTAGGATCTTGTTTTGCACTGACAATATGCATACAGAATTTCCCCATGTTGCTATGCAGCAGCGAACCACAGCTGCTAAGAGATCACAAGCTCAAGTCAACAACCAATACCATGCAATGTGCTGTGTGACCAGTGATTCTTCAATATATTATATGTTTTATATTATAAAACAATCTGTGTTAAAGGCACGTCCTTAAGTGTAGACTAATGAAAGGCAGTCTGTGTCCTAGACTCTAGGATATGCTACAATGTTTGGTAAGCCATAAGTATTAAATACATTTTTGTCTTAATGGTAGGTTCCATTTGTGTTTATCAGGACATAACTCCACTGTAAGAAAAAAAAGTATGTGTAAATTTTTACTGTGTTGAATTTGAGGGTTTCTCAAGTTCAAAACCAAGAGATAGCTCATGAGACTCAGGGGTTCAGAGTCAGTGTTTTCTCTAATTAAATGTTGTATACAATCCAAGGAAAGGAAATAAAATATACAATAAAAATGATTTTATATAATATTAGAACTAAGAGGTTTGATTAAAAACATGGTTTGTTGCATTTTATAGTTTTAAAAAGGTAGGAATGGATACTTTGGAAGATGAATAACTTACCAAGGTCTGTCCAAAATTCTTCTTGTGAAGCAAAACATCATCCTATGGAGAGAATTTCACTTTATTCCATCTGAACAGTGCAGATTCTGTTTTGAATGGGTCTAGACAATCTCTGGAGGAATTAAGGACAAGTACAAGCAGGAATTTGAGACATTTTTATCTATGCTATGTCATAAACAGTTGTTGTGAATATTAGGGATATTTTGAGATTTTTTATTCATTTTCAGAGATTCAGAGCCCTATAGATTAATGTCTGTGTTTTACAACTAATAAAGGAAAACTCAATTTCCAGGTTGATGGAAATCGCAGCCAGCTCCAGAGAGAAGCTAGGCCTTGTCAGTTCAAGAAATGTTTTCATAAAGGACACAGAAAGCTAGCCCATGACCAAAAAGTGATTGTTTTGTCTAGAGGAAAACACTGAATTTGATAGTCTGGGATCCAACTGAGGGAATATTTATTATTATGGAGTGAGGTTTGTCTTCTTTATCAGGCTGTAAACAAACAGCATTCCTATTTTTTCTAGTAATAGTTGATGTCAAATTCTTTGTCTTTCTAACAAGTACCTTCAGCTGACATTTTCCACAAAGTCAAATCTGAGTGGGACTATTTGGGGGCGAGGTAAATGAAGCAATTTTATCTGATGTTTTGAGGTATCTTTCACAGTTTTAATGTAATGAAGGTATTAGTACCTGAGATTGGAGGCCCATACCTATTAATCCACTGACTTAATAATGGCCTTTAATCACATGATATAAAATCTTTACTCCCTTACCTCACTAATAAAAACAGACGTTATTGTGTTCATATTTTGGCTTCAAGGGGCATAATGAAATTCCACTAATTTTTCTTCTTTGAAAGGAATGTAGTCTAGAAACTTTTTAAACATTCACGCAATTACCAAAAAAATATAGATTCATATACTTTAAGTTTCAAATACGGGGACAAACTTATGCATAAGAAATTTTTAGATAGAGATTCTCCTGCCCTGAAACAGTGTAAGGAGTTTTCCAGAGAGGCAATGTGGAAAGGAGACTGTGATTTTGCCTGTGCTGCCCACAACGAAGAGGGAAAACTGCCCTA